TTCTCGAGAAATTGAGAGCAGACTTCAATGGCTCAACGAAGTCCGGTGTTGATCGGATTGCTCAAATTCGCATTGGCATCAACGATGTTCCATATAACATGCTTCCCCGTGTTGTACCGGCGATTCCTGGATCCTATACGGAAACACCACAAGAAAATGAGAATGCCTGGATTGATCTGATTTCGAAGCTCAAATTCTTGATATTGCAGTCATTTGACATGCGGGTAACTCAATATGAAGAGAACATTCGGGAAAAGGATAGTCAAAGAACTTTACCTGGCTGGAACTTCTGTACATTTTTTGTACTCAAAGAGGGTCTGGCAAGAGGATTTGAGAGCGTTGGTTTGATCGAAGATGCCTTAGTGGGTTATGATGAGCTTTCCATTGGCTTGGACACAATTGTTAGAGACCAAGCTGCTGCAGAGCCTGGCACTCAGCACGGCGGCTCTTTCTTACCTTACACTGAAGAACTTAAACTCCAGGCAGAGCGGGCTAGAGAGGCAATTTTGAAAGACATAGGCTTGGAGGGCGCAGGATCAGACTCAGAGGAACCGATTGACCTACAGTCCACGGGTGGTACTTTCGAGAAGGAGGATGATGAAATCCCCATTGACGCATCGAGGAAAAGGTACCGGGAACTCATTCTTGCGAACGATGTTTCAATATTTGATTTTCGGTGCTATTTATTTGCTCGCCAATTAACTCTCTTACTGCGATTAGCAAATGCATGGTTTACACAAGAAGAATTACTCGCAAAGCTCAAAGAGCAGCGAGAATCAAGTTTACTTGGAGTAGCTGCTAGACTTCCAGCTTCACAACCTTCAGATGACACTGAAAATCTTGCTGTGCTTGGTGAGGTCTGTAAGCGAGCAATGGATTTTATTGGTGCTATATCAAATATCATGCGTGAGGATATCTGGAGTGCTTATTTCCATTCTCAAAAAGAGATTTCCTACGAGAAGGCAAAATCGGATTTTAAATCAGATCCCGTGATGAATCAAGTAATTGAAAATGTTGTTTCCTCTTTCACATTTTCTCTTGCTCAGCAGATACTCGCACAAACTTCCACAAAAGCATTGCCTATCCCACCTTCGACACTGGCACCTCCCGGCGGCGGAGCAGAGCCGAAATCCTCAATCCCCGAACCTAAAACCATGATGCATCCTGCTAGGACGACTTCTCTTGCCCTCCGATCATCGTCTCGAGAGCCTCCAAGTCCCGGATTGTTTCCCGGTGGCCGAAGAGCCAGCGTACCTGGTCCTGGTGCGAGTTCGTCGGCCTTCCTCAAAAACGGGTTAGAGGACCTTGCTGCCCACCGAGCCGAACTCTATTTGCTCTCTCGGAGTGTTCTAGAGCACATTGGTAAGCAGCGTGGATGGACTGCCGGCTGGGAAGATGTGAATAAGCATCAAAGCGAGGATGTGGAAGTCATGGAGGAGGTTAATCTTGATGAAGAGACGCCATCAAACAAAGACGAGACAACTTCTCCAATTCAATTTCCACCTTCACTAAACGGCATTGACAGCAAGTTGCTTCGGACAGCACTAGACAACAAGGTCGATTTTTATCGTCTCTACGAAACTCTTACTGATAAAGCACTCCGGCATTATACCGTAGCAAACCGCATACAATCTGTACAGACCAGCATGGCAGATCTGGCTATTCTCAAATATCATTTGGGGGACTATGCTGCCGCTGCCTCCTATTTTTATCGCATTACTCCTTTTTACGGAGATGCTTCGTGGACACAAGTCGAAGTATCGCTATTAGTAATGTACGCTAAGTGCCTCAAAGAGTTAAGTCGTAACGATGAATATGCCAAAGTCGTACTGAAGCTTCTTGCGAGAGTGGCCATGATGGAGAAAGACAAACTTACCAGAAAATCAGCTTTCAAGATTGGCCAAATGAGCACGTTTGACGAAGGAGATGTCATGCTCAGTGATAAATACCTAAATGAATTGTTGCTGATAACACCAAACCTGTCCCGTGACGTTCACGTCCCACTGCAGGATTATTTTAGTAAGATTGAAGTAGACGGAACTCCTCAATATCATTCTAGTCAGGATAGTTTCGGTTTACAGCTTCGACTTCAATATTTGTTGAAGGAAGACTTGAACGTCGATAAGGCCCGAGTAAGAGTTATTCCGTTATTGGGCGGCCCTGGCCGGGAAATCTGGCTCGAAACAAATGATGCACGTTTATACAAAAAAGGATGGAACAAATTATACGTTCAGAGTAATGTAAGTGAAGATAACACTCTTAATTTGAATATGTTCTTACGGTTATAGATCATAATCCCTGGCTCTTATCAAGTTACACATGTCATTCTCCACAGTAGCAAAATTATCATGGAGTATTCACATGATAGTATTGGGCATCTATCTACAAGAGAAAGTGGTTTCTTCAAATGTCCGAAACTACTCCTTTACCACCGCGCAGAAGCTTTCAACGCCAAACTCTTTTCCTCTAGATGCATGCATCTAGACCAAAATCGTTCTTTAGAGATTGAGCTATCGTCTGGGTGGAATAATGTCAGAAACGGCCAACTTCAAATTCGTGCGGCAACAGCTGGGCTGCGGCTTCAAACGAGTGAGGTAGCGATTATCGACGGACAACTCGACATTTCCAAAAAGAAAGAGGCAGGGGTCGTTCACTTTGGTGCGATGGAAGCAGAGAGCATTGCAAGAATACGAGTGCCGTTCAATCTTGAACACGAGGTGAACGAAGTCACACTTCGACTTGAAATATCGTACACAACGAAAGATGGAGACTTTTTCTTTGCTACCACTTCTTCGGTGTCAATCATGCTCCCACTCGGTGTCAATGTCCAGGACGTATTTAAGCATAAAGCATTGTTTTCTAAATTCACCATCTCAACATCCACAAACAGCCCACTTAGACTTCTTAGTTCTAAGTTAGAAAAGTCCGAAATATTTGAGGCACATTCTGGACTGGGCCTAACACGACCTCTCACCATATTTCCTCGTCAACCAGCGTCTCTACTGTACAAAATCATAAAGACCGATTCGCCTTCTTCCCCAATCAATCGACGGAAGTCCCACAAACCGAGAACTTTATCCCTCATCTTACATTATATTTGTCTTGATGAAGAGGTTTATGATGTTGTGGCTCAAGTTCTGAGAGACTTTCTCGGGAGCAACTCCTTACGACCATATACTCGCCTGATTATACCTGTCGTTCTGTCGGAACTTCGATCAAATTTCTCGCCATACGATTTTGAAAGGGCCGCCATTCTTGGTGAGATACCTACTTCAGCTATCCTTAACATCAGATGGCATGACCATTTTTCGGGACTGGGAAATTCCATTGAACAAGATCAAGATACTGCTCTGCTCATTTGCAAGACACTTCAGGAATGGCAGAAGGAAAATCCTGTCATCCCTTTACCGCTCCTATCCGTCGACGGAGCTGCAATCTCAAAAAGTCGATCGATTGTAATCCCAGTGGATGTCCCTTCGGTGATGGTGGTGCATACTGCTGACCTACGGCTACTTCAAATGGCATCAGTAGCTTCTAGTAGTGCTGTAGCAGCAGCAAACGAGCCAATACCAGCATTATTGCACCTTAAATCGACGAGGAACTGGGATACTGCCTCTCATGATGATGCTACAAGCCCAGGGGAAGATATAGAATTTGTATATGAGGTTACAGGTCCATCAGATACATGGCTCATTGGTGGTAGGCGAAAAGGCCACTTCAAAGTCCCTAGAGCTGTAGATGGAGGAAATCACAAATTGAATTTCCCCATCGTGCTGATCCCTCTTCGGGAGGGGTTCTTGCAATATCCTACTATAGAGATCAAACCACTTCCCGCTACCAGAAGTATCAGACCAGGATCATCAGGCGGTGGAGAGGAAGGCGTGAAGAATAAATCACGGCCTGTAACTTGCGAAACTGACTGTAAGAATACTGGCGAAACCATTAGAATTATAAGTGATGCTAGGAAGACGACTATGAGTCTAGATGCTAGTGGACCGCAGGGCGGAGCTTGGTTGCTAGAAAGTGAGAGAAGACCAGCGGGCGCTGGAGGCATTGTGATCGATTGAAGACATTAGACTTAATATAATGATTTTGGAACAAGGATGTTTGAATGCACAAAATGAAATGTGATGGTGAGGTCTTACTTCCCGTATCAATTAGAGTAATGAAGTCATGCTTCATATCGAGTGACAAATAGGTAGAAAACAATCCTCGTGCAGCTAGAAGCTTAGAAAGTATACAACTCCGCCGCTAAGAGAACCAAGTTAGTCCCCTTGTAGTTTACCATCTTGTGATATGTGCATCTAGCTTCGGAGTTGCATACTTTCTGGCAGCACGAGTAGTGTTCATTAGGTAAGATTAAAAGAGCTGAGGGGAGCGGTGGAGTGGAAAGAAAATTCCCCGAGGAGTCAAGTAGATTAATTGCCGGGGGAACTAACGGCGGAAAGGCGAATTGCACGTTCCCCGCGGGCCCCTCCGTATAGAAACTCGCGTGGTTGAGGGAAAAAAACGTAGGATCAATCTGCCCGTCAATCTTGGCAATGATACCTAGATACATATGTTTGGAAAAAATTAGCAATGGTTAAATACGAGTAGAATCCTTACAATACGAAACTAAATATCGAACATTGCAATCTTCTAGGGATTGAATGACCGCAGGTAAACGTAAAATGAGATTCTTATCAACGCTTATCATCTTATCGAGCCGCGTATCAATGTTGGTTGACCGAACCCAGTCTCCTCTCCAGTTTCGTTAATATATCGACCACTATCGGCCAATCGACTAGCCGTATTTACTGCAGTAATCATCCGAATCTTGCCTCGTGCAGATTTTCCTAATAGGGAAATGATGGGTTCGGGGTCTCCGCCCTAGGTCTAAATCTAAAGGTTGTGATTCGATTAAATCTACGAACGGCCAAGATACAGGTACTACCTTGAATGCGAGGATGCTCCTGCCATTCTGCTAGAGATCAAGTATTTTTCTTACCTATAGAGGTAGAGGTTTCCCGTAGAATGAATATAATATCTACTTGTTTCTCTCTCGCTTTCTCTGTCTCCTGACCTTACATCTACTAGTTCTGTTCTTTATTGAAGTAAATTTTGGAGGACTACTATTCATCATGGAAGAGAAGTCTAGTCACAGTCCTGTGACAAGCTATCCTGAAGAGTCCACGGGTTATGGCGAAAAAGCTCCTCCAAATTACAATGGCAATGATATCCAAACAGAAGGGCTAATATCCGAAAATGTCGATGGTCTCAAACGACAGCTTTCTGGAAGACAAATTCAAATGGTAACCATTGGTGGTTCAATTGGTACAGCTTTGTTCGTATCCATTGGATCGGGACTTACACAAGGTGGACCGGGATCTCTACTCATTGCCTTCATCTTATACAGTTGTTTCCTTGGGTTAGTTAATAATTGTATGGCTGAGATGTCAATCTTCATGCCGGTTAGTGGAAGTTTTGTGAGGATGGGGAGTAAATGGGTTGACGAAGCCTTCGGATTTATGCTGGGGTGGAATTTCTTCCTTTATGGTGAGTAGTGTTCAATTGTGTGCGAGAATTTACGAAGTATGTGGATAAGTGCTAATGAGGATCTGGATCTAGAGGCTGTATTGATTCCATGGGAGATTAGTGCGTTAAATTTGGTGTTGACTTTTTGGAGGTATGTAGGTATCTTTAGCTCCTTTTTCTCAACCGATCGTTACACTGGACATATCTAACGTATTAGGACAGTGATAATATACCCTTAGCAGCTGTCTGCGCTGGATGTATCTTTCTCTATGGGTAAGTTTCTATCTCAATCCCCAGGTATCATTTCTGACTAGAGTAGTGTTATTAATCTTTTTGCTGTTAAATGGTATGGAGAAAGTGAGTTTTGGCTGTCTGGTGGTAAGGTAGTGTTGATCGCTATGATATTTTCCTTCACATTTATCACAATGGTCGGAGGAAATCCAAAACATGATGCATATGGGTTCCGTTATTGGAAAGAACCTGTAAGTCCCTTGCATTTTCTGAGTTTCTTTAGTCCTAATGATCTGTAGGGTGCATTTGCCGAATACGTCACTACGGGATCTTTGGGTAGATTTGAAGGATTTCTTGCCGCATTATGGAAAGCCGCATTTACTATTGTTGGGCCTGGTACGTTAAATTGTGCCGGAATTGTACTAAAAATGTGTAAAACATGTAACCCTAACAATTATCTAGAATACATTGCTATGATGTCGGGTGAAGCCTCGCATCCCCGCAAAAACCTCAAGCGAGCTTTCAAGACAATCTACTGGAGATTTGGAGTCTTCTTTATCGGAGGAGCTCTAGCATGCGGAATAGTCATTCCATACAACGATAAGAAACTAATTGCTATCCTCTCGAGTGGTGGCTCGGAGACTGGAACTGCAGCTTCCAGTCCCTATGTTCTTGCTATGCAAAATTTGGGAATTGGCGTACTTCCGCATATTACAAATGCCTTACTCGTGACGAGTATCTTTTCCGCTGGTAATTCCTATGTGTATGTTGTCCTTCTCTCTCATACAACAATGTCCTAGAAGATACTGACAGTACCGAAGTTACTGCGCATGTCGTACATTGTACAGTCTCTCGCTCGATGGACATGCCCCACGTTTCCTCCGCAAATGCACCAAGTCTGGTGTACCAATCTACTGCTTTTGCGTCACCATGATCTTTCCCTTTTTAAGTTTCCTTGCAGTGGGCAACAGTTCGGCTCAAGTCATCACATGGCTCGCAAATCTTACCGAAGCCTCACAAATCATAGATTACATTTGCATGTGTACTATTTATATATTCTTTTATAGAGCATTAAAGGCACAGGGTATTGATAGAAGCACACTGCCTTATGTAGGTTGGTATCAACCTTATTGTGCCTGGGCGGGACTTGCGGCAATGATTTTCACGGTGGCGTGTTATGGATACACCACGTTTTTGCCAGGATGTGAGTTCTCTTTGCGCCCTCTCCTGCGTGCTGATTATCAAAATGTGAAAACAAAACTAACCAAGAATAGGGTGGGATACCGGAACATTCTTCTCTTATTATACTATGGTATTCGTCTGTCCAATACTTTATGGGGGATGGAAAATTGTCAAGAAGACCAAAGTTGTAAAACCAGAAGAGGCGGATCTTGTATGGGAAAGACCAATTATCGATGCGTACGAAGCGACTATGGCTGAAAAACACATATCGTTCTGGGAGGAAGTAAAAATTATGATGGGGTTCGGAAAAAAGGAAGTGCATGTGGAATAATGATTGAATGATAGTGAGGATGGACGGTCCGGGATCATCACCTTAGAGAAAAAGTACTACCAGTGGAATCTTATTCCCTTTCACGATATTCCTAGGAACCTACTATTTCGCGAATACTCTTGATGAATAATAAATGCTCGAGAATACCCTGGTCAAATCAGGGCGATTAATACAAATATGAGATGACGCCTTAGGCTGGATTGGGAAGTCTAGGTGCTATTGAGACTGCATCAACCATAGTGAGCTCAATAAGAAGCGATGTCCCTTTCACTGATTACTCCCCTCCCATTGAAACCTATCAAGTCTGAGTTTCAAGTCGCTTATTTTGCCTACCGTCGACTGCTTCTCGGCCAACAACTGATGGATTTCAGAATCCACAGTCTTCGACCTCAGAGTTAAACACAACATCTTCTTTCCCGTCTCAAAAATCTCTTTAAATTTCTCTGTGCTTGCAATGCCCTCCTCGCACTTGCCGCGCCACTCCGGAGACGATCTCCTCCCGCGAAGCTGCTGAAAGCAAACTAATTGTTCATCGAGAGACTCGATGTAGATTTCCAAACGGTTAATCTGCTTCTCATACTCTGTGACCGAATCGGATCGCTTCAGATAATTCATGACTGCTCTTATATACAATACGCGTTCATGGATTCTTTGAGCCAGCGATTGATGTTCGTTTGGGGTGTCGGGGTCGGTATTGTCACTGATCTTGGGTGGTGCACCTTCCGGTTTGTGTGATGGGTCACTGAGGAGGTTGAAAGGGGCCTCGTCTTTCTGTGGGGCGGATGCGGACTAGAATGGGTGTCAATTTTTGCCCATGGAATTTTTGGATTTGAAACAATCAAAACTAGAGATGATTATGAGAATGATCTCATTTGAAGATCGTAACGTACCTTTGTGTCGTTAGACGATGTCATGTTTGGATTCTGCTGATTGCTCTTCTAGGTGATCACTTCTGATTTGATTGTGAAGACTGGTGATTATCTTAAAGAAAACCCGAATCAAAACCTAAAGCTGTTTGGGACTTTATACTACCTTTCCAGTAGTGATGGAAGCTGTGTGATGTATATTCAAGCATATTCGTGGCATCATTTAGCATTTCGTGAAGATTCTCTGATTCCAATACTTGCTAGAAGATACTGGGACGTTAAAAAGAAAAAAGAAGAAGAATGCAAACTTGACACAAAGAGAAACTGATCATTGGAAGACGTCACAAGCTGCTCGACAAACCACAACATCCAATCTGAGTTGTCTTAATGCAAATCTTGAGAACAATTTGGCAAACAACAATACTCGATATTATTATAAGTACCCCAAGCTTTAGCCAACTTTTAGCTTCTACTATCATACATTCTCCAAAAATGGCAACGCAACCACACGACTTGACTGTCGTGGCAGCCCTGTTCAGTGCCATTGAGGAGCGCAACGCGCTTCTCGAAACAATCAAGAGGAAAGATGCAATGTTGGAAACATGCCAAGCACAGTTAACGCAGCGTATGAATGAGAAAATTTCGTGTGAACGAGCTCAGACGAAGCTGGCAAAGTATGAAAAGTTGCTCGAGGATAATGGAATAGAGGGGGTGGAGGAAGTGATTTGCAAGCTGGAGTATCTGAATGATATGGTGGAGAAATTGCAATTTAGGGCAAAAGAGGTAGAGGAGTCGGGAAAGAATATTGAGGGTTGATGGCTCTTAGGTGATGTTGAGAGGTGGTTAGGTAGGATTCTTTAACGTAAGAAGTGATAAGAAGGAGGGAGGATAGGAGGGTGGATAGGAGGGTGTGTGGGAATGATTATTCTATCACGGTCTTGAGCTTATTCTTACGAAGTGTCAGCTGCAATGCTTGTCAGATTGACTTTCACTGCAGTGTTTGAAGACATTACCTTTGACTTCCGTTCCCCTTTCTAGCTACACACTTCTGGATGATAGATAAAACCTACCTAATTAAGAGGCCAAATCTTCTAGTTGTGACTCAAGCAGTTCAAGCTTCACTGCTTCAGATCTACTTCACCAGTAGCCCAAGAGATCAAATATAACGCGCTCAGATCAAAATGCTGGAAATACCCACACACTGCCGAAAACGGTACTGACTGCCAAACAAAAACACGCAGTCGGTATCAAACGTAAACAAAAACATCTTACCTATCGAAAAAAACAACTCCTATCGCACAAGGTAACTTTGAACACCCATTTCAACTGCGCAGACACCGCATGTAACACCAACCTCCGTCATAACCTGACCCATATGCATGCGCTTCCATAATATAAAAGGAGCTTTAATGGTTTAAGAGCGGAGAAACCAAATCCGCAAGGTATCGCATAAATTGAGGTGCAGATGGGGAAATAGAAAAGATTCGCGAGTGTGAAAAAGGTTCGCAAGCATTGGTCTATTGAATGGAAAAGAAGTTCAGCAGGAAGACTAGTGTGAGAATGGGTAAGTAGATGAGTCAAATGATGCTTAGCTTCTCAATCATACCCTTCTAATGCCATGAGCATAACTTCCTTCGATGCAGATCTTCTTTGCGCTACAGTATTCCTTGATGATGTAGTTAGTTTGTTGAGGAATTCTTGAAACAAGAACGTTGTTTTGATATTGATGAGTACCTAGGTATGTATAGGCGCTTTTCGATCGTTGCCATCCGACGAGTTCATTATATTGTGCTGTGGCTCGTGGATGGTCATCGATTCGATATGCGCTGTAGTTCGATATGTCAGTTGTTGCTATCTTTTGTAGTATATAAACTCACCAGACAGTACCACAATTTGTGACGTGCCTGAAATCAATAGATGATGTGCCAGTACTATACAAAAGACAATGAACTTGATGATAATACACCCTGCGAGAATTTGCGCAGTGGTATATCCCACAATGACAAAGCGATGAGCCCACAACCCTGAGGCAATCCAACATTTATCCTTCCAAGCATTCACCTATTCACCGCTCTCGCTTCTACTATATATATTTTAAAAATCTTGATTCCAGTACATTAGGCGTATGCATGGGAATGGCAACGTGGTGTGGTGCAGTGGTTTGATTCCACTCTTGACGATTCAACATCGTGCACCGCAGTCGCATAGAAGGTCCCCGCAGGCAAATACTAGGAGAACTAATTACTCTTCCAACGGGAACTTCGCTCTAGGAAGAGGGACAGAAACCTACGGCTTGTTACCGTACTCAGTGTTCACACTGAGAACCTATGTTTTGCTCTTTTGGATGTTGGATTTGTGGAATTTTTGGCCCAGGGAGGATAGTGTGAGTGGGTCTGTGTCGGTTGAGGTGATGAATTGAGGTTGCTTGATTGGATGCTAGGTGTGGTGTCGTTGTCGTCGTCTCGCTTCGCGGTTTTTGTCGCGCTTCAATTTTGCCGCGTTGAAGCTTCTTTACTTTACCATAGGTTGGAAATCTTTGATTTATGAACATCAAGATTTTGATGGTACGTAGAGCTGGTAAAAAAATCTCAAAAATTGTGTTTGATTGTTAAGTGTCATGGAGTGAATGATGCGACTAAAAATAAGACTGCTTTGACTTGGTATTGCATATTTTGCGGTAACGCCTAGGACTGAAAGTATAGCGTGAGTTGACATCTTTTCCTTTTTCTTCAGGAAATTTATCCATGCACATTTGTTTCTAGGTATGTCAACCAGATAGCTCTTAATTCGTAAATACCCCCCTCCCTCGCAATCTCCTCGCTTCGCATTATGAGATGCCCCACTTCTTCAGATCATCTTTTTGAGAGTTGCAAAAGACGACATGTGACGAGAGCCTCGAGATTTGAGCCAATTTTCTGTATGATTGTTCACAGTGGAGTTTGTTGATAATAGACATGGGCGATGGATGAAAGACAGATTCACATGTCCAAACATGATAGGTATGGCCACGTTCACACTGCTCGAATATGCGTACAGTGTACTTCATCCTTCCATCTCCATTTCCAAATCCTCATCTTCCTCACTCCAGCACTCTAATTCCATTCCCTCCGTTCCTTCAACTTCATCTCCCTCATCTATTCCCTCTTCCCCATCCTCGTCATCTTCCTCATCTACCTCATCTACCTCATCCACCTCATCCTCATCATCTTCACCCTCGCCATCCTCATCCTCATCCTCATCCTCATCATCACTTTCCTCTTCCCCCGCCACAAACCACCAATTTCTCCCCTCATAATAATCCGCATTCCCAATCCCCCCCACCCGCAATCTCAACATCCTCTTCAACTCATATTCCTTCCTCCACAACACACCCTCACACACTCTCAAATTCTTCCTATACTCCTGATGCGACCGCACTACTTTCCGCAACACAACCACTTTCCTCATTCTTTCCCTCCCATCTCTTCCCTCTCCCCCTCCCACACGCAATCTCACCAATGCAACACGAAGTGCTCGTGCGTATTTCTTCTCGTCTCTCGTAACTTGTCTCGTGTTGTCTTGGGTATATTTTAACATACCGCAAATCTCTCTATACTGTATTTCTCGGGAATTCAAAGGGATATCGATGATTGGGGGAGTATTATTGCTGAAAGGTAAGTTGGGATTTGGCTGGATGTCGTGGAATGATGGGTACCAGGTTTGGGCGGGGTGGAATGCCATTTTGGAGAGAAGTTTAGAATTGAGATGTGATGGGTGAAAGGAAAGATTGGGAAGGTGATCAACATATAGTGCGTAGTAAAAAACCATGTTAAAGAGAGAATAATGAAGACTGATGCTGAGCCTTTGAGATTTGTCACAGATTTTGTTTCAGACTTTGGAATCGGCAGTATATTCATTCATTCTTCCAGCAGCTTCCAGACAAACTTTGGGATAGGATGAAGACGATGATGGAATTTTCATGTGGAAGATCTTTGAGGAATCACTACAGAAGACACAACATGGTTTCTATCGTAATTTTATATCAAATTTCAAGTTCATTCTACTTCAAGAAAGAGACGATTCAATTTAGATCGTTGGCGCAAGTTATTCGTGGCAATGCACGCTTCAATAATTCGCTTGTTTTCACATCTAGTAGGAATCTTAAGTGTGGAATCTATCTTCACACCAGATCCTCGACTGTTCATCATAATGTTTCATGCCTCCCAGCAGACCTTGAGATCTTTGTTTCCAAGCCTTGGTATCCCCCTATCCAAAAAGGTGCCTGCGCTCTTCGTCAATCCTCATTAATAAGCCCAATCAACGCATCCCCATCCCCAGAATCAACGCGCATGACTATTCTTTATTTTTTCTGTCGAAGAGGCAATTGCTTGCGCTTTCCCGATCCCACAGCCGACATATCATCAGAATCAGAGTCAACATAGGCCCGCACATTTCTCTCTACAACCCGTGTTTTCTCGCGCTTCGCCGCCCTCTGCTCCACACTTTCCCTCTCAACTTCCTTCAATTCGCAATGAGTCTCGAGTGAACGATTCTCTGCTTCTTCAAGAACCTTGTCAAGCTTGTCTAGCCAACCGTAAACCGACTGGATTGAAAGAGGCTCCCATGCCCATTCTCCCCTCATTGAGGTATCGAATTTTGGGCCTCCATGATCCCTCGACTCTTCTTTCCTCCTCATCTCTCTATACTCTTCCCAGTTTTTCTTCTCCTTATCCATCCGCTCCGCTAGAATTTTACCCCAATTCTGCCATTCTTCAAGGGTATGCTTTTTGTTAACAAAATTCTTCACCTCATCTACATGTTGTCTTTCTTTCATGATTTCGGCAACAAGGACTGAGATTAGTGTATCAGTCGACATTTTGGTTTCTGAAATCGGGATGATCCCGTGCCACTCATTAAGAGGCGGATTACACGCTTGAAGCGTTTCGTGTTCATCATTACCAACCGCGCGAGGAAGATCTGCATGTATGTCCTGGATGTCTTGTTTGATGATCGCAGGATCGATCTGGCGATGTGAATTTTCATATTGATCACTTCCTCGGCTTTCGCCGAGTTTCTTTCTCTCATTCCGTCTCTCCCTTTCTTCACGTTCTCTCTTGCGTTCTGTCCACTTCCTCACAGCCTCTTTATATCTGCGTCTTGAATCGCGAGACTTGTCAGTTACTCGAGGTCGATGCGGAAGTGTGGATTGTAGTTGCATGATTCGCGCCTGTTCTGCAAGATTGTGCCGTCTGGGATTTTTGGGTAGAGCAGGTCTATGAACAAGTGACTTAGTGCGGGTTTTCTGTACGACTTGTGGAGAAGTCTCTTCGACAACAGAGATATCATGTGCAGCTGGCCTGAGAACAAGCGGCTTAGTACGATTGCCGCACATGACCTGTGAAGAAGCCCCTTCAGCATCCATGACACCGGATACAGCAGGTCTGAGAACAAGCGGCCTAGCGTAACCATCCCCTCCAAACCATGAAGAACTCTTTTCGACAGCTGGGACACCAGACACAGCCGGTCTATGCACCAGTGGTTTAGGATATTCAAACCACGCAGGAAGCTGACCTCCCTTCCCGGTGGAAATTACCAGTCCATCCTACACATGTTAAAAGATTCCTCTCAGTAAATCAACAAGAAAAAGATCAATTATAAAGGAAACCATTAAAAAACCTACCTTTCCACCCACATCTATCATCTCTCCAGCAAGCGGGACACCAGACACAAGCGATCTACAAACCAACGGTTTGGAACGCGAGAGCCACGCCGACTGTGGATCAGGCCATTCAACACTGGTAAAATACGTTTCCTCCTAACAAACACATCAGACCATATCGAGAGAAAAGGTTATATATGCAAGAAATCCATACATTTCCCTCCCCACCATCCATCATCTCTTCATCATGCGCGAAACCCATCTCAAATCCTCCCAATCTCAATAATTTCTTTCTTTTGCCAACTGCGATTTCCATCAAAAAATAAAAGAAAATAAAAAAAAATAAACAATCCCAAGAACTAAATGAAAGAGCCCAAGAACCACATCTTCATCGTGATAAACAAGACTAGGTACCCACCCACATGAAACTCCGATACAAACCCCAAATCTTTCTCTCAGAGACGTACTCGTTCCCGAATCTTCCATTCGCTCCAAAATCGAGAGGAATCGAGATGATGTTTCGTTTCGTGTCGAATGTGATTTGGTGTGAACATGATACCATCGCAATAAGACGAACAAGTTACACCACATGTTGGAGTGCGGGTTCCGTCGCTTTTACATAGTAGATAGCGGGTGCCTATACATGCCGTAATTTCCGCGCTGCAGATATCACATCTATCACCTTCCAATATCAAGCGCGGCGGATCTAGTGTAAGAGAGTGTGCGAGGTATGATATGACTCCCAAGGTCCCTTATGTGAATATCAAGAAGCACTCCAAGAACCGCTTTTTTTTGATAGATATGTTCTGGTTTATGGACTCTGCGGTTATTGTCTTGATTAATTAACGACTCAATAAATACCCCTACCCTACGATCTTCCTGTCTATTGCTAGGTATCCATCTCACATTCTCTGTTATGATGCATATAGATAAATAAATAAATAGATAGGTACGATATACAACCCCCAGCACCACACAACACAGCACCAGAAAACCCACACACACACATATAAAATATAAAACCACAGTCTATCCAACCACCGCCACACCCTCTATCAAACACCAAAACCTACAAATAAAACGTTCGCCTTGCATTACATATTAACAACGACCAACAAACATACACTACATACTACATCCCCATCCCATCTCACAGAATACCGCCACAATCCCAAGAACCCGGGTTTGGGTTTGCTGCAATCCAAACGTATTTAACTTTATCCTTCATGCAGCCTTATCAAACAAACCACCGCCACAATAATCAATGGCCCCAAACCCTGGGTTACTGGAATTTACCCTCATATAAGATTTCATATTTGCGTGTACCATTTCATCGCTAGACAGGCAAACCATCATAACATAAATAAACATTCGAGATGGGAATGTGGGATCGAATCGATATGTCCTGGAATGTGGACTGTTATCGGCCACTTGCGCGACCCTAGAATAGGTAACTTTCCATCGTCAGGGGTGTACGTTTTTTACAACGTGCCCTCTTTTTTTTTCAACAAAGATAGAGTATGTGTATACCTAACACAATAAAGTTTTGTAGAAGGGTAAAGAGAATATCCTGTAGAATAATCACACTTTCTTTTTCACATTTCTTCGAATTCAATTCAATTCCATTCCATTCCATTCAGTGCAAAAGCAGGAAAAGATTATTTACTGCTCTAATCAGAGAAGTATAGATAGAATATCAACAGGAGCGAATACCTAATCTGAAGAACTATCTCTGATAAGATTGAAAATTAAAAATAGAAAACAAATAAATGAAAAAGGAATGGTACGTACACATGAGAGTCAAATACAAGGTTTAGCTAAGTCATTAGACTTCGCTTCGTTCAAATCTAGATCTAAATCAGAAACTTATCTTTTGGATTTTAGTTCTTTTCTATTTTTGACTTTGGTAGAATAAGTTCCTCTTTATTAAGTATTTGCTTACGTTGAAGTTGCATCGAAGAGATAACGTAGCTCCTTTACAAGTGTAATATGTGTAATCTATAAGACAAAACGTTCTCGCACGTTTCTTACTCTCTTAAGGATGGTGGTAAAGTATCAGTTGGTGTATGATGTAGATAGTGAAAGACTAACCACTCAATTTCGGATTAAATTGGTGATGATGGTTCTATATCTAGACCGAGTTTTTGTCATACACTTCACTAGCAGTATGAGCCCTGCAGCTGAACGAACATACCTCAGGTGGAAATTCGTGATGTATAACCAAGATGAGTATAAATCCAGTGACGCTTAAATGACTATTTGAACACCACCAGATTCCCCCAAGCTAATTAAGACAAAACATGATGACATAAAGTAGGTTTCGGCAAGGTGCGTACCGAATTGACCACTGTTGATAGCAGCAAGCTTATTGTAGCGTAATGTATCTCCAGAGCAAGTTCCTTGGAGTATTTCCGCTGGGCTATTCCCATGAGAGACCTTTAGTGGCAAGACGAAAAAAAAAACAGTGCACTTGCGTATTCTTATCTTAGCTGTCGACGGGAAGAAATTATGATGAAGCTTTCGTGATGTGGAAGAGAATCTTAAGAATGCCGCAATGTTTACGATAGGAAGGAAAGTGAACACGTGAGCGGGCCGATCGGATTTGCACAACCTCCAGCCACTGGGCCGTCATATCCGATGTTTGAAATACTTGAATGCTTTTTTTTGAAGCCCAAACAATCAAGCGACTCATTAATTAACTTGAGGCTGAATCTGTTCCTTACATCAAACATATCGACGACTATGACTTCATAGGTAATTATTGCTTGTTTTGAGGCATGATCCTGTAGAGAGCTCGCAAGTGTACTACCGGTACTCTGGAGCAGGTAGTAGCATAAACTTTATACAGACCATGCAAGGATGAATAGGCAGAACAAATAGGATAAATAAAGGTGGTAATGCAAGCAACGAATGGCAATGCGGTACCTTGATTTAGTCAGGGGTAAAGTATGCCAAGGAGCGGCGGTGGAAACAGTTTGTTAACGGCATAAAGGAGATGGATGGCTCAGCCCGTATCTCTATTAGGTCGCTTCTATCGTATCGTTTTGCGCCGGTTTTCTTCTAAGACCAGAGCCAGTGATTGATGATGGGTGGTCTTAGAGGTTGAGATTTATGATGAATGAATGAGTGTGAAGGAAATGAAATGTGAGGATACGACTCATACGAGCGATTGAGATTGGGTTGTTGTCGATCTGATTTTGAATTGATTTGGTCTGGATGTTCTTAACTTCTTGGAGGGTTTGTGGTGAGATATATTTAGAATTACTGCATTCGTATCTGTTTCGCTGGCCCACGTTGGATGTGGGATGAATGTGGAAGTTAGAGTCGCACATCATCAGGCGGGTGAAAACAGTTGGAAGTTGTGATGGCAACGTGGAAATATCTTGATCTTGACTTCGTATACTTACTTCAATGGCCGAGTAACCTTAAAGCAAGGAACAACGAGGATTGAATCGAATGGCAGTCATGCTTCTCCACAAGTATGGATTTACCGTGTGAGCATTACCTAGTATCGTATCCATGATGGATAAAGTGTGACGGGAGAATCCTGCAGTAGGACATCTGTGGCCGTTGAAGCTGGATCATCTGGATTCTGATTGTGGCACGAAAAGGGATGAATATCGGAATTCTTGAGGGAATTTTCCTCGTCAGCCTTTCAACAACTCTACCTACCACGCATTCCCAAGCTGTCACTACTGGACCCCCAAATCCCTCACTGCCATGCCATGCCATGTGTTCCATGATAGAAACAGCATGATCATGGATTCATCATGGATTCATCATGCTGTTACCCCACTATGAAAACAAACTATTACCACGCTGTTGTGAGATTAAAATTTGAGACTCGTCATGAACCACGACTGGAATCAATAACTCCAAGATCCCCAGATCATAGATCACGACATGGGAAAATTATCTATCGTGATTGTTATCGTGACCCATCAAGCTTGAATAGGAGACTTGTCAAAATCATGAGGTCCGTCTCCAGCCCAGCCCAGCCGTTTAGAACTTTAGATAGGATGTTGAAACGATACCCCTGAGTTTGTGGACGGTCTCGATTCCACCACGTCCTAGGGAATCCAGTATCAGAAAAGGGACCTTGGGACGAAACGATAGAAACTCGCATGGGATGAAGATGAACGATAAGCTGAGCCTACTGCGTACCTCACTCACTCACCCACCCACTCACCCACCCACTCACCCACCCACTCACCCACCCACTCACTCACTCACTCACAGGCTCAGCGGTAGTAACAGTTGATCAAATTCTCGCTCGCACTCCCTGAAGTGCCTCCCGGATACCTATTGAGGAATTGGCCTTGGGTAAGGTGAAACTAGGGCACGGGACTCTGTTCTAACTTCTAGGGTTGGACAATATCCCGAGACCGAATATTGAAAGATCTCCGACCATCTTCTCCAAGCTTTTCCCAGGTCTCTAGGTCTCTACTCCAGAAATGGGAAGAATCAGTGGAGTTGTTGGAGATATTTTACTGCTGGAGGTTATTTGGTTACGTGCTCTTCATCTAACATGCAGACTGCAGTGGCGTAGCCGAAATTAGAGGTTTGGAAGAAAAGAGCGGATGTAGAAATGATTCCTTCTGGTTCAATGAAGTGGAGATGTTTCGGTGGAAAGGCACGGAATTCTCTTGGAAGATGGGATTTTATTTATTGCAGTGAGTTATGGGATGGTACTTGGTGGTGAGTGGTGGGTGGTGAGTGGTGGGTAGTGCGTGGTGGTGGTGAGTGGTGAGTTGTAAGAATGAAAATGGGCGTTGTGAATGGGATGAACGGCAAATGAATTGATTGATTTATGGAGTGGAGAGGTGATTTGGAGAAATGGAATTGGAGAATGGGAGAATTGATTGTCAGATGGTCAGGTCTAATAAGAATGTATAGATCCGTAGGATCAGGAGGTGTGTACTGGTAATATAGATGATAGATGGATAATAGATATTATAGATATTACATAGACATTAGATAGATATTACATAGATATTGCATAAACATTATATAGACATTATATAAACATTATATAGACATTATATAGACATTATATAGACATTATATAGACATTATATAGACATTATATAAACATTATATAGACATTATATAGACATTATATAGACATTATATAGACATTATATAGACATTATATAGACATTATATAGACATTATATAGACATTATATAGACATTATATAGACATTATATAGACATTATATAGACATTATATAGACATAACATAGATATTACATAGATCATACCTGGTAGATAATCCGTTATAAATAATACTGTAACTACCTACATAGAATTTTACCTCGGATTTTATTATTCATCCAAAGGATTTATCTTAGTCATAAAGGGATCTTACTCGAGTAGGTAGGTATTCAATGATCATAGCAACGACAATTGACACTTCATGGTTACTAGGTGGCTAGTATTACCTAGTATCATACTTCCCGAGGTCGTTATCTGTATTAATCCAAA